CTAGACCCCTAGACCCCTAGACCCTAAACCCCGAGACCCCTAGACCCCTAAACCCCTAAACCCCGAGACCCCAAGAGCCTCCTTGGGGCAACCAGGTCTTGAGCCACGCTCGCCTTGACCCTTTGGAGCGATTTCAACTGCGCGAGGACCTTCGAGGCCATGTTTAATTCCTTCGGATTACAGGTTTAGGGGTTTAGGGTTTAGGGTTTAGGGTTTAGGGGTTGAGAGTTTAGGGTTTAGGGGGTAGGGGTTAGGCTCAGGCTTAAGGTTCAGGGCTTGCGGGCTTAGGGCTTCTGGGATTAAGCCAAAGAAATTCGCGACACGCGTGTTGAGACTCCCCCTTCAAAAGATTCCCCGACTTTCGGAGCTTCCAGATGCCACTTAGGGTTTAGGGTGACGGGCTTAGGGTTTTAGGGCATGTAGGGTTTAGGGTTTATAGGGTTTATAGGGTTTCGGGTTTCGAGTCGACGGTGACTTTTGCATCTTCTCGACAATGTGTTTGCATTCAGCAGGCTCGCAGCTGCTCGCATAGCCTCCCTTTGTTGCACTAACGAGCTGCACTCTATAGGGACCAGAAAGCCCACACCCTAACCCTAAACCCTAAACCCTAAACCCTAAACCCTAAACTCTAAGCCCTAAACCCTAAACCCGAAACCCTAAACCCTAAACCCGAAACCCTAAACCCTCCCTAGATCAGCAACACCACCGATCCGAAGCCCCGAAACACTCAAAGGGTTTAGGTGTTTAGGGTTTAGGGCCTGAAGGGTTTAGGGTTGAGGTGTTTAGGGTTTAGGGCTGCAGGGTTCAGGGTTCAGGTGTTTAGGGTTTAGGTGTTTAGGGTTCAGGGTTTAGGGTTATACTGGCAAGCCCCTTCTTGAACCCTTCTTCCGAGCCTCTTTTCTCTCTTGGACCAAACCCAAGTCTCAAAGCCATAGAAGACCCCATAAGCTCTTAAACAACCCGTTCAAACCTGTTAACAGCATGCCATAAACGACACTGGCGAGCCACGCGCCCAACACCCAAAACCTCATTAAATTACCAAACAAGTACAAACTTGCCAAGCCCCAAAATCTATAACCCCCTGTTGCAACTTTAAGCAAGCGCTACAGAGAGAGCTCTGTAAACTGTGCTTTCAGGCAACACCCCTCCTCAGCACTTTGAGCTGTCTCATGTGCCCATCTGGGGCTCGATCAGCCAAGACATTGTTTTTCAGACCTTCTGCATCTGAAGGTGTTATTTGCAGGGTCTTGCTGACAGGGTTCTATAGGGTTTCAGGTACTCTTGGATTCTAAGAGGTTTCCACGGGTTTAAAAGTTACATCAGGGGTTCTAGGTGTTAGCGGAGAGGGATTGAGGTCAAGAAGAGCCCAGGAGCTGGCGGACATAGAGTTGAATTGTCGAGTAGGGTTTAGGGTTTAGGGTTTGAAGGTTTTAGCAATCAGGGCTGAGGTTTGCCCCTTACATTCCGTTCATGCTGCATAAGGATAGATTGCTGCACCGTGGCGTGCTTTGAAGTTTGGGTTTAGGTTTCCACCTCCAAAATTTCGTCCAACCCTGACCCTGAACCCCAAGCCAACATGCATCTCCTTTGGTTCTGAAGGGCTGCTCAAGGTATTGATCAAACGAGTAGTAGAGAAGGTAACCTTTACCCTTTTGGGGGTACTATAATCCCGGTATAATCCCAATACACCACCAAAGTTTAACCATGAATTCCCCAGGATACTGGACTAAACCCTAAACCCTAAACCCTAAACCCTAAATCCTAAACCCTAAACCCTAAACCCTAAACCCTAAACCCTAAATGAGCAGCATTGGTTTTGCCCTCGGAGGTTTGATGCAGAGGGTCCGCACCTGTTGATCTGCAGAAGTGGATCGACCTGTGCTCAGATTTCCTGCCGTTTTAGCTAATGAAAGTAGCCCAGAGTGGAAGCTTCTCCAGATTTAGGGTTTAGGGTTTAGGGTTTAGGGGTTTAGGGTTTAGGGTTTTGAACCCTAGACACCCCAACAGCCCTAAACCTTATACCCTAGACGCCTACACCATCCAGCCGAAGCCTACAAACTCTTAATCCGAAGCCCCCCGAACACCGAAAGCATCTCAAACCCACCGATGTAGTTCTTCAAGTCTGTCTCTAAACCGTAAACCTCTCCACTCCCTAGGACTTCAAAGCGGCAAGCCAAAACCCCAAAAGCCTAAACTCCACACCCTCAACCCATGCAGAACCGGTTCTCAAGCCCTTGCAGAAACTCTAATAGAACCCTAAACCCTAAACCCCCAACCCTAAAGTTGGGGTGCTCCACATCCTCCCTGGGAGTAGAGGCAGCTGAGTTTATGGAGGCGAAAGCCAGCACATCGTGGCCCGAGTGCAAGGTACCATCTGTGCCAAGTCTGCGGTTTTGGGGTTTTGAGCATACAGCACCCTAAACCGTAAACCCTAAACCCTAAACCCTAAACCCTTTAAATCCTAAACCCTAAACTTGTTGGAGCTTATGGGGTTTACTGTGGCCTTTTCGTTAGTTTGGGATTCAGGGTTCATGCAGACCAGTGTTCAAAGACACCACGACGACAACGGACAAGGCGGGATGGTGCGGCGAGGAAAGCAACGTTGGAGTTTCAGAGCATACTAAATCCTAAACCCTAAACCCTGACATAGAATATAAGCCCTTAAACCCTAAACCCTAAACCCTGAAGTAAAGCAGAGAGAAGGTATTCGAGTTGGATTGAAACTCCCAGTTTGCTGCGATGTGTCGTGTTCTATCTTAGCGTCCTTAGCTCCTCCCCTCCAAGCCGAGGTGCTGGGGTTTACGGTTTAGGGTTTAGGGTTTGTTTAGGGTTTAGGGTTTAGGGTTTAGTTGAATCTCAAAACAATAAGTCGTGTCCTTGCAGACCATGTTTCTATTCTGGTCACAGCGTGTCCAGGACCCTGAATCAGGACCGGAACTAGGGCCTTTTCCCGGCTGAGTTGTAGCTTTGACATACGCTTTTCAACGTCTTTTCCAGAGTGTGAGGCTTTCAGTCAGCGCGTTTTTTGAAAGTTCTCTGTGGTCTCTTGCCGTGATTGCGGGGGTGAAGACTGCTGTATAAGTCTTCGCTTTAGGTTGTCTCTTTTTTGGCATTGTCGTTCTGTTGCTTAAAGCCTCGTCTCCTGCTTTCGACCTCCGTCGTTTTTGGGGGATCTGTTGTTCACCGGACGAAGTTCCCACGTTTAGGGCTTAGGGTTTATGGTTTCACCGCGTTCCTGGCACCAATGTCGGTCGTCTGTCGCCAACCTGGCCCTTCCAAACCCAACATTCGGTTCGCGCTTCGACCCTCTCGGCCGAATGCCAGCCTCTGAAAACCGACCACCCTAAACCCTAAACCCTAAACCCTAAACCCTAAACCCTAAACTCTAAACCCTAAACCCTAAACCCTAAACCCTAAACCCTAAACCCCAAACCCTAACATGGGCCGTTTGAACCTTGAGCCTCACTGGGGCACAGCAAACGAGCACAGGAATCTCAGGTGCACATAGATTGCTAGCTGGAAAGATGCCACAGTCTTGTAGCGAAGGGGTACCCAAAACACTATGTCCATAGGGTTGAGGGTTCAGGGTTTAGGGTTTAGGGTTTAGGGTTTAGGGTTTAGGGTTTAGGGTTTATGGTTCCAATGTCACGTCAAGGGCATGAGGGCTCAGATCGGTGTCGCATCGGAGCACTCTCGAAAGGTTCCACGGGCCCTGACGCAATCGTACTCTCGCTGCACGTTTAGTTCGTGCGCGGGCTGCGCGGCCTTTTTTGGCAACCGGAAATGAACTTCGCAAACCTAACCCGAAACCCAAACCCCTACCCTATAAACCCTAACTGCGCCCTTCATGTTGAAGCGTTCCCGGATCGATGATTGCTGGGCTAGGCCAGGCTACTTGGGATACTATACAGTAGGAGCCAGAAAGTTGGAACATCATTATCCTCATGCCCTCAATGTACAGCATAAGGGATTCTAGCGCTAATCCTCATAAACCCATGTTCCAACTATCTGGGATTCGCTGTAGGGCTGCTAGTGTGATGGAGGCCCCCGGAATATCCCGAGACGAGTTATCAGCATTCCTTCGTCAAGTTTAGGGTTTAGGGTTTAGGGTTGTTGATTTGTGGTCATCGGCAGGGAGAGTAACTGACTGCATCTCGTTAAGCAGTTTTCTGAATACTGTCATCATCTTTCATCCTATCTTAGTCAGACTAACACAATACTTGGAGGTTCTGGGAGGTTGCTTTAGAACTCCAATTCGTGACCGCGTGTACAGAGCGTTCGAGGGATGGTCGGACTCCGAGAAACCTCTGAGCAGGTTACGAGATCACCACTGAGATCACATAGGAAGTATTCCTGTTTCAAGACCCCTACACCCTAAACCCTACACCCTACACCCTAAACCCTCAACCCTGAACCCTAAACCCTAAACCATAAACCCTAAACCCTAAGGTCCTGGGGTTTAGGGTTTTGGGATTATGGAGGTATAGACTATAGACAGTGCAGACATCCTCGGAGTAAGCCCTAACGCCTAAAACCCTGAACCCTGAAGCCCTAAAGCCCTAANNGGGCTTCGGGGTTTAGTGTTTAGGGCGAAACCCCGATAGCCTAAACCGAAGAAACCCTAAACCCCAAACCCTAAAGCCCTAAACCGTAAAGCCCTAATTCCTAAACCATACAACCCTACAGCCCTAAACCCTAAAGCCCTAAACCCTAAACCGTACAACCCTGCAGCCCTAAACCCTGAGCCCCTAAAGCCCTAAACAGTACAACCCTGCAGCCCTACAGCCTTAAACCCTGAACCCCTAAAGCCCTGAAGCCCTAAACCATACAACCCTACAGCCCTAACCCCTAAAGCCCTAAACCCTTAGCCCCCACCAACTCCCGGGCTCAGCGCGGGAACATGGAGCAAGGTCGAGATGCCTGAACTAAAGGTTTAGGGTTTAGGGTTT